GGGTCTCCAGCGAGCCGATAAAACAATAAACCGCAAGACACGCGACAGGAAGCGCAAATTAATTTCTTCTTGCGCATCCCTTGTGCGGTTTCTTGCATTCCTAGTTATAAACCGTACTTGGTGCTATGCATTGCAGGCTGCCCCGCCCCAATTGCGGTACTCGCAACGCGTGCTCACAATGTGCAAAACATCGTTATATTAGCTCATATATAGTTACCCAGAAGCTTTATCATGACTACGTTAAGACTGGTTATACCTGATTTTAATCCTTTCACGATCATCGGATGATTAATATGTTTACTCATTAGATCAGACTTGTAATTGATAACACCAGATACATAGTCGCAACGTGATTATAAATTAACAGCAATTTATAATTATGATACTCAATATCTGATCATTTATGTATTATACCTTTTTTATTCTGTACTTAACTGAATATTTATATGAAATATCTTTGTTTAATTATCGGAAATGTAAAAATATTTAAACGTATTGTTTAATGCTGTTCGATTAACACTAAAAGCATCAAATGAGAAGTATTAACTAGTTTCAAACTGGTTTTGCGTTTTCAATTAGTGAAAATTTGCACCTGTTGTTGGTGAAATTTATATTCACATTTATTGAAATTTATTTATTTTTATCATACCACTTAAGGTCATACATGTATAGCCAAAAAATGTGTGGAAACAATATTATTCAAGCAATATGATACACGTAATAAGAAGAAAATTTCAGGATTATATCAGTAAAATTAGAAAATAATTCAACAATGTATACTTAAAGGCTTAAAAAAATGATAAAAGTGATCTAGGTCACATATGTTTCGTTTTATATTGAAAATATCTCGTTTAAAATATACGATGAATTAAAAAATTAATTATGGTAAACTTACAAACTCAATTTAACGATTCAATTTTTCGTTATTTTACAAAAAATAATTTTAATTTACTACAGTATAAACAACTATAACACTAAATAAGTGATAATATCATTTTTTCCAGGGATTTAACTTAGACCACATTCATTACTAGCAAATATGCATATTAGAAAAAGAAATCATGAAAACAAGAGACCAAAGTGATGAACTTGAATGCAGAATTTATAATTAAAGGTTTAAAAATGGTCATTTAGGTCGTGGTAGATTTAGTATTAGATACAAATTGCAGGTCAGTAGTTCTACGCATTAAAGACAGCATTTAACAATGAACATTATACTTTTACAATCATCAAACATTAATTACACCGATTTCAATTATCTAAACGAAGTTAAGTAACTGAAAATACATTTATTTCCTTTACCTGATTAACTCACTTATACCGAATGCCTTGTATTTGAATCTCTGAGATTTTTCCCAAAGTCTTAGAATTCCTTGCAATTCGATTTCAAAATGAATAAACAGTAATAAATTTCAATTTCTTCTCATGGATGTCATTACGTACATTTTCTGAATTTCACAAATCTACACGTATCTGCACGGATTTGCCTCGTTACGCGCTCAGTTAAGAAGATTAAAATCGACACTGATGTTCCTATAAATAATAATCGCACATATGATTATGCTCCTTCCATTTCAGTAACCCGGCGCATAATTAAATACGCACATCTAACGAAAACAGAGTAAAACAACGAAAGTACAAGTAAAACAAGGAACAACCTTCCACCAGTGGATATAACATCGAAGCAACATTGCGATCTCTTGCCCTGATCTACTTAGCATTATCAATTAAAACGTCCTACATACCAACGCGCTGTCTGTACATTCAATTACTCAGATACTTCATCTATCACCCCATGGACCATCCCACCATCCCTTATCGTTACATAGAAACACTCAAGACTAACCAATGGGTAAAGATGTGCAAGATCTTGAAAATTTCGAATCGAAATGAGAAGAGAATTTTCTTCGAGAAACTACTTGAAAATTTTTAGGAACTTAATATGTTCGTATTTTTTAAAATAATAATGATATTTATTGAGTAATCAACGAATGGATACCATTTATGAAATTTTGAAATACATAGTGATACGAAAAGAAGAAAATTTTAAGATTCTCTAAAATTCTTTCAGGATTAGCATTACCGAATTCAATCAGGGTTTATTTATTTATTTTTGTATAAGATAACCCATTTGTAGTAACCAAAAGAGGATACAATAATCTATATGCGTACAAACAAGCCAGAATAAAAACAGATGAATAATTGATCTAGAAAAATTCCAATTTTACAGGAAATCTTAAAAGAAATTTGCAATTTAATAATATAAAATATTAAATTTACATAGAACGTGGATCAATCAGAGTAGTAAGATTAAAAACTACAATGATATTTATCAAATCTAATCACTGAACATGATTCGAAATTCTTGAAATTTGCGGAAAACTCGAAGTTTCTGAGAATCCCGATTTTTCGACATTCTCGAAAAGTTTTGGGAATCCTTATATTCCCAAACGGTGAGATACTCTGGAGATTTCGTCTTGAGCACGGAGACCTCGAAAGTTTCCGATCCTCGCATGCCTCCAACGATGAACCTCAATAGCTATCGACGAGATCTCAGCGAAACTCCATCTTCGATCGTACCCACGGCGACCTCGTCATCCTTGTCGAAGGACAACAGGAGTCTGTGAGAAAATCTCTGCGGCTCATTGCCATTCGCATTAAATAAAAAGAAGGTCGACACAAGGCAGGTTGCACAGGTGAACAGCCGTTCGGCACGCAGATGCTGTTCGCAAACTTTTGTGTACGCCGAGCGCTGCACATTCGCGAAGAAGTTACCGGGCTTGCGGTAGTTTTACTGTACCGTAACGTGAGAATTTTATCGGCGCTAAACTGGCATTGCCTCGATCTCGGTAAAGTCTTCCACGCACATGCACCGTCGAAACGAGATCGCCTCTTGTACCGAGCGTACGCCATTGAGGTTAATCCCTGTCGACCCCTATAAATCGCTATGTGTAATCTGCCCGATCGACAGTGGGGAATTATAATCAAAGGTTGAATCGTAAGAGTTGGGTTACTAATGGATTTTTTTCTTTTGAGAAGTGGGGATAAATTGGACAGGAAGGGTTGCTAATGGTAAATTGATATTTTAACCCCTTGTCCTACCATTTAAGTTCCGATGGCGCGTGCCATAATCAACAGCAATGCCGATCCTACGTCGAGCCATTTCGTGTGAACGTGGCCAAGAATAATACGTAACTGAGACAAAAACATCGACGAAAATTAACCACGAGCCTGACTAGTGATGTTTACGTCCAGCCCTATCTACAAACCACGGTTTTCACCCGTGATGCTCGTGTTTAGCAATGTGAAGTATTCCTTAATAGTATAGAAGAAAATTAACCGTAATAAACTTTCTTTTTCACAAATTTGACTTATTTATGCGAGGAACAGATGCAACAAGACAAAGAAGATATCGTTTTAATGAAATAATTAATATATGGTATTGATGTAAATAAATTATTGTACATCATAGTGCGAATAAATATTATACCTACTTCTTTCTTAAATGAAAAATTCGTATTTTGTAAAAATCTGAACGTGCATTGCCTGCTTTGCTTTATTTGATCGAGGTTAATCTTGATCGACCTCTATAAATCGGCGTCACTAATTCATTCAGGGGACGACAAGAAATTATGGTAGAAAGCAATGTCACCACGAAATCTCTTTAATGAATGATCCTTTAGAAAATATAGAAATCGGAGGCGTTAAATTGGTATTTCAACAATGATGCTTATCAAATTGGGATACAACGAGATCTTGAGTATATTATATTAAAATAGCGTACTGCAAAACCTATCGAAAGATAATTTTATAGTGTCATGAATATTAAATGTGTCATTAATATTTAATAATAATATTATTGTTTTATAGTGTCCTGTATCAATATATAATATTAATATGATACATTTGTCTTACTTAATAGCTTCGAAATATAATTTCGTTGTTTTAAATATCGCAATTTATTATACTGTTATATAAATTTAATAATTTTATATGAGTATTTGAATTTAGATTATTAAAAGATTTGAGTAATTGAATATTCAAAATCTATGTTATTAAAAATATTCCCACAAAACTCGTGACATAAAGAAGTTAATGAACTCTTAATGTTGGAATATACTGACAGAGTACTGCCTTAGCATTGTCTTAGGACATTTTTACGACTCACAAACACAATCTGTTACCACGACCTTAAAATATATACTTACAGAACAATTGGAAGATGTATGAATGAGACAGCAAATGCATTGTACAGGGAACATTAGTGAAGAGACAGCTCTGTTATAACGTTACCTTGTACATACTGCAAACTGTACGTTTGAGACTTTCCTAACTGTTAAACTTTTAAATATCGCAGGTAAAAAGCTGTAAATTACTCTTTAATTATATCCACAGTTACTGGTTTGTGAAATAGTAATTTGGCATTAAAGACTCAATTTTTTTTTCTATTTTACAGCAATAATATCTGTACAAAACAATACAAATAAATCATGCTTAAATTTTAAAAAATTGAATGTCCCTTCATTATGCAAGAAATGAAATACTATAATTTCCGTGAAGGTAGTATACGTTTTTCGATTTGCTACTATATTGTTACAAACTCATG